GGGAAGGCATAAAAGACAGGAAGTCTTGGTCTCTTTTCCCGGAGTTCGGCTTCCGGTTCGGCAGTGGGAAAACTACTTGGCTCATCTGGGTTACTTGTTTGGTATTGTTATTTCTACAATAAATACTTAGTTTTACTTTCAGTAAGTGTGTCACTTATCGTTACAGCGTCATTTGGAGCCTCATATACAGATGAAAAAATGGCTGAGAAACAAATCAGAGAAACATCACCCTTTACAATAGCCATAAACAGCATCAAATGTCTGGGGATAATGTTAACTAAAGAAGTGAAAGACCTGTATATCAAGAACTTTGAATCTCTAAAGAAAGAAATCAAAGAAGATACCAGAAAATGAAAAGATCTCCCATGCTCTTGGATTGGTAGGATCAACATAATAAAAATGGCAATCTTGCCAAAAGCAATCTACATATTCAATGCAGTCCCTATTAAAATACTGGCACAATTCTACACAGACCTTGAAAGAACAAAAATCAACTTTATATGGAAAAACAAAAGACCCAGGATAGCCAAAACCACCCTGTATAATAAAGGAACTTCAGGAGGCATCACCGTCCTGACGTCAAGCACTATTACAAGCTATAGTCCTGAAAACAGCTTGGTATTGGCACAAAAATAGACATAGACCAATGGAACCAAATTGAAAAGCCTGATTTTAACCCACACACCTATTAACACTTGAATTTTTTTTATTTTTCGAGACAGGATTTCTCTGTATTGTTTTGGAGGCTGTCCGGGCACTCGCTTTGTAGACCAGGCGGGCCTCGAACTCACAGAGATCTGCCTGCATCTGGCTCCCAAGTGCTGGGATTAAAGGCGTGTGCCAACAACGTCCCACTGAACACTTGAATTTTTACAAAGAAGCTAAAATTATACAATACAAAAGAAAGCATCTTCAACAAATGGTGCTGGCATAACTGGATATTGGCATGTAGAAGACTACAGATAGATCCATGTCTACCGTCATGCAAAAACTTAAGTCCTAATGGATCAAAGACCTCAACAATAATCCAGCCACACTGAAACTCTTAGAAGAGAAAGTGGGAGGTACTCTTGAACGAATTGGTACAGAAGACTGCTTCGTGAACATAACACTAGTAGCACAGACATTGAGATCAACAATTAACAAATGGGACCTCCTGAAACTAAGAAGCTTCTGTAAGGCAAAGGCACAGTCAACAAGACAAAAAGGCAGTTCACAGAATGGGAAAAGACATTCACTAACACCATATCTGACAGAGGGCTGATCTCCAAAATTTACAAAGAACTCAAGAAGCAAGTCTCCAAAACACCAAAGGATGCAATTTAAAAATGGGGTACATAACTAAATAGAGAATTCTCAATAGTGGAGTCTTAAAAGGCTGAGAGACACTTGAGAAAGTGCTCAACATCTTTAGCCATCAGGGAAATGTAAATCAAAACAACCCTTAGATACCATCTCACTCCTGTCAGAATGGCTAAAATCAAAAACACCAATGACACTTTATTCTGGAGAGGATGTGGAGTGCCAACTTGCTAGTGGGAGTGCCAACTTGCACACCCACTTTGGGAAATCAGTATGGAGATTGCATAGGAAAGTGGGAATCAATCTACCACAAGACCCAGCAATTCCACTCTTAGGCATATATCCAAAAGATGCAAATTCATACAAGAAGGATGTCTGTTCCACTATGTTCATAGCAGCATTATTTATAATAGCCAGAACCTGGAAGCGACCTAGATGCCCCTCAGCTGACGAATGGATAGAGAAAATGTGGTACATTTACACAATGGAGTACTACTCAGTGGAAAAAAAAAAAACAATGGAATCTTGAAATTTGCAGGCAAATGAATGGCACTAGAAGAAACCATCCTGAGTGAAGTAACACAGTCACAAAAACACAAACATGATCTGTACTCACTCATATATGGATTTTAGACATGGATTAGGGGAGTGCCAGTCTGCAATTCTACTGACAGAGAGTCTGCGATAACCTAAGAGAGGCATGCATGGTACCCCAGAGAAGAAGAATGAGAACCTTCATCCAGTGACTAATGGAAGCAGAGGCAAACACCCACAGCTAAACACTGAACTGAACCCATGGAACCCAGTGACAGAGAGGAGTGAGCAGCAAATGGGCAAAGAATGGGCTGGCGAAACCAGCAGAGACAGCTGACATGAACAAGGGGGAGGTCTTGTACCCCAGACCGACAGCTAGAAGGCCAACATGGGACTGATCTAGACGCCCTGAATGTAAGAGTCAGTGAAGAGGCCTAGGCAACCTATGGGGCTCTGGGCAGTAGATCAGTATTTATCCCTGACATACAAATGGATGTCATGTGTCCATAACACAAAGAGGGATGATCTCTCAGCTTGGACTCTTGCGGGAGGGCCTGGACCCTGCCTGAGTGAAATGACAAGACTATGGATATCCCGTATGTGGAAGGGAGTGTGGATAGTGTAGGAGTCTGGGGGTGGGGGGATAGTGGGGGATTGCAGGAGGAGGGGAGGGAGAGGAAGGTGGGATTGACATATGAAGCAAGCTCTTTTCTTAAAAAAATGTAATAAAAAATAATGAAGAAAAAAACACCAATGGCAGCTTATCCTGGAGAGGATGTGGAGAAAGGGGAACACTCCTCCATTGCTGGTGGGAATGCACACTTGTACAGCCACTTTGGAAATCAGTATGGCGATTCCTCAGGAAAATGGGAATCAGTTTATCACAAGACACAGCAATTCCACTCTTAGGCATATACCCAAAAGATGCATTCATACAACAAGGATGCCTGTTCCACTATGTTCATAGCAGTACTATTTGTAATAGTCAGATCCTGAAAACAATCTAGATTCCCCACAACTGAAGAGTGGATAGAGAAAATATGGTACATTTACACAATGGAGTACTACTCAGTGGAAAAAAAAACAATGGAATCTTGAAATTTGCAGGCAAATGGATGGCACTAGAAGAACCATCCTGAGTGAGGTAACACAGTCACAAAAAAGACAAGCATGGTCTGTACTCACTCATATATGGGTTTTAGACATGGATCAGAGGAGTGCCACCCTACAATCTCATTGCCAGTGAATCTGCCAGAGAAGGGGAATGAAGGAAGATCTCGAGTAGATTGGGAACATGGGGGGAGGGGAGAGGGAACCAGGAAAAAGAGAGGGGGAAAGAGTAGATGAAGATATGGGGGAGCAGTACGGTTGAGCCGGGGGAAGAATGGAGAGCAGGATGAGAGATACTATAATAGGAGTCATTATAGGTTTGAGGAGAGAGCTAACACTAGTGGGATTTCCAGAGATCTACGAGGATGACACAAACTGGCACACTAAGCAATTGTGGAGACTACCTTAATTGCTCCTCCCTGATAATGAGATTGACGTCTACCTTATATGCCATCCTAGAACTTTCATCCAGTAACTGATGGAAGCAGAGGTAGATACCCACAGCTAAACACTGAAAGGAACTCCTAGAACCTAGCGACAGAGAGGGAGGAGTGATGAGCCAATGGGTCAAGACCATGCTTGTGAAACCCAGAGAAATAGTGGACCTGACAAGGGAGAGCTCTTGGACCCCAGACTGATGGCTGAGAGGCCAGCATGGGACTGATCCAGAACACACTGAATGTGGTGTCAGTGAGGAGGCCTTGGCAATCTCTGGGACCTTGGGTAGTATATCAGTGTTCACCGTGGCGTACTAATGAACTTTGGGAGCCCATTCCATATGGAGGGATGCTCTCTCAGCCTGGACACATTGGGGAGGGCCTAGGCCCTGCCCCAGATGAAGTGACAGACTCTGGAGATCCCCCATGGAGTGCCTCACCCTCCCTGGCAAATGGTGAGGGGATTGGGTGGGGGTTGGGGGCTGGTAGAGGGGCAAGGGAGGAGGGGTGGGAGAAGGAGCTGTGATTGACATATGAAGCAAGCTTGTTTCTAATTTAAATAAAAAATACATTGAGAAAAGTGTCCCATTGGACCACTGCATTGTACTCTTGTGCCACCATGTCCTGTTGTTCGCATGTCATCACAGAGTCCTGTTATGCTATATCTGGACTATTGTGTCATCACTGTGCCATACTGTGTCATCACATTGCCCTACTATGCTATCACAACGTTCTAGTGTCATTTCAGTGTCCTATTGGATTATAGCTTTGTTATTTTGTACCATCATTAGTTTTGCTTGTCATCTAAGTGATCGTCTATGTCACTGATTTGTTATATTGAACCAGAAAGTATGTCATATTGTGCTAACACTTTGCCTTTTGTGCCAATACTGTGACCTAGTATTCTACCTCTGTGCTTTTTTGAGTCAACACTGTGGACTAGTTTCCCATCCCTAAAGCCTATTATGCTATCACTATTCCCTATTGAGTCAGAACAGTTGCCTATTGTGACCTATTGTGCAACATCTGTGCCTCACTGCACCAAAACATTTTGCTATGATGTGCCCTATTGTACCATATCCATAGCCTCTTATGCAATCACTATGACACGTTTCGGTATAACTAGGTTGTATTTTACCATGTCTGTGGCCCATTTTGCCATTAATGTGCTCCATTGAGTATGAACAATAACCTCTTGTGCCACTCTAGTTTCTCTTGTGCCATCAGTATACCCTAGTATGTCATCATTGTGTCATTCGTGCCGTATAGTGTCATCACAATGCCCAACTGCACCATAAGCTATGTTGTTTTATTTAAAAAAAGAAAGAAAACTGAGCTACAAATCTCCATAGTTATATTCCATACACTAGTAAACACCAGCAAGTGCTCACAACAGACTAACATGATAAAGAAAAAAAATGTGGAAAGAATTACTTCAAAAGGAAACAAGGTAAACTGACAAAAGTCCATAGGATGGTGATATCAATGAGAGTTTTCCTTTACCTTTCAATTATTCAAAAAATGTATTATTGTAATACAGAGGAATATTACTACAAGGCATGTTTAGTTATTGCATTAACATTTATCCTCTCTGAGACAAGGAAAAGGCATGATGAGTAATATATACAAATAACTTTATTGTTTTTAAAGATATATACTAGTTTATCTGTGAGTTAGGTACACTGCTCATGTCCAGTAGAGGAAAGGTTACAAAAGATACATAAGAAATATGCACATAGAAATCATGGTAGGGAGAATGTCCTTTTGTAAATAACAAGTGCATTCCATACAAATGAGAGGGCGTCCATAGTATTTTAAGACTCAAGAACCTCCCATGGTGCTGAGGTACAGTAACTGACAAGGAACCTGCCAGCTTCTTTCTTGTCCACTATTCACTGAAGTCTCATTCGTTTCTCAGGGGGACCTTTGGTGCTCACAGTCTGCTGAACATTCTTTGCACTCTCCTTCTCCTCAGACTTCACAGTTTCTGGGAGAGGCTCTGCCTCTTTCTTTGTCTGATCCACTAGACATCAAAGGCAGGCATTTTGACAAAACAAATGAAGGTAGAAGGAAGACATAAATTTAAACAGTGGTTAGTATCAATGGCTTACTCTTTTAAATTCATTTTTAATTACTTATAAAGTTGAATATTTAGTTGATTCCCCAGGCAAATATATTTTAAAATTCATTTATAAACATAAAAATTCATTAACTCAAAGAAATTTATAATGCTAGACTAACATGTGGTATTAAAATAAGACATCAAGTGTGAACAAGTCACAAAAATTGATTCTATGGCAACTTAGCAGACAGCTAACATCAAGTCACAGTGGTTTCTTTGCTCTTCCCATTATATCTACCTAAACTCTATTTTTAAATGCTAGTATTGCTACCACAAAAACACTAAGTGTTGGCAATTCAGGAGTTCAGAGGTTAGGGGTGGCAAACTATAATGGGACAGCCTAAAAGAACAAAAAAACCACAGCTCGTTTCACATGCCAGTGCTGTTAGGACATTACGAGCTGCTTGGTCTTACTTCCATAACTTCTTTACTAAGAACAGCAGATGAACCATACCTGGGACAGGCTTTTCTCCAGACTTTTGCTAGGATTTGAAAAATAAAAAAAATGGAAGAAGGAGAAGGAAAAGTCAAGTTAATAATGTTTCTTTTGGGTCTTATGGTCTTAAATGACACACTTATGTAACTGCATTGTAAAATGACTTCATAAAGGACAATTACCATTCACATACCATAAAAAGTGGTTTGTCATTTTTCTATCCTTTATACCCTTCATTTCGGAAAAAGACACAAATTTAAAACCAGAAGTCAGTCATAAAAATGATGTGCATCTAACAAGCTGTGTGCCCTCCCATAAATACTACAATAAAAAGAGTAGTCATGTAGAATCCAATAAAAAGAAATAAAAGAGCCACCAAACCTTCAGAGGCTTACCTGCTTAGAGGATATGAACTATAAGAAGGATAATGAAGCCAGGAGTGGTTTAATACCAACACTTGGGAGGCAGAGGCAGATGGACCTCTGTGAGCTTGAGGGCAACCTGTCTACAGAGTGAATTCTGTGGATAAAGCCTTTGATATTTAGTATGGCAGGCATGGAAACAAAGACAGGAAAAGCTTTCTCTCCCCCCAAAGAGTAATTTATTTTTATATGTATGGGTATTTTGCCTGCATATTTGTCTGATTACCTTGTGCATGCCTGGTGCCCAAGGAAACCAGAAGAGGAGGTCAAATCCTTTGGAACTAGAGTTACAGACGGTTGTGAGCTGTTTTAAGTGGGTGATGGGAACAAAACCTAGATCCTCTAAAAAGCAGCTGAGTCACCTCTCCAACGCAGCTCGATCAGTGGTTTAACATCACATACTGCTCTTGCAGAGGAACTAAATTTGGTTCCAGCACCCACATAGGGCAGCTTACAACCGTGTGGAACTCCAGTTCATGGGGATCAGGTACCCTCTTTTGGCTCCTTTAAGTACTGTATTCACATACACAACACATAATTTTTAAAAAATGATCTTAAGAAGTATATTATTAAAAATGAAACTTTAGGGGCCTGGGAGATGGCTTAGCCACCAAAGTCTGACCATCTACTACCTGAGTCTGATCCCTAAGAACCCACATAATGGAACATATCCACACTAAGATAAATAAACAATTCTTACCCTCAACATGGGGCAAGAATTTCCACATAAAACCTGACAAAAGCTTAAGAAGGAATTTTAAAAACAAGAGAACAAAGTCAAGCACGGCTTCTTGGTAGCAGCATTTTCTCTGGTGGGCACTGTTTGCTAGAGGCAAGCAGAGGCTCGTGGCTTCTTTAAGAGAGGCTTCCTGACTCAGCATTAGTGGCAAAAACTGCACCAAACAATTAAATGGTGTTTATGAGCAGCTAGCGAGCATGCTTCTTGGTGGTGGCGTGGATCTAGAAATTCCAGAGTTGTGGCAATAAACATGGCTCCCACCAGTACTCCACCATGAAGCTACTCTCAGAAAGCCAAGGAATAGGGTGGGGCCAGCTGCTTTAATCTTAGTCATAATGCTTAGCAGATAAAAGATAGAGATATACCGTAAAGACAGATTCAGAGGGAAAAAGAAACCCCTAAACGTTTTACAGCGTGTTTAAAACTATACGTAGGCTTGGGAGAGAAAAGAAAAAGGATAGAAAAAGTCCTAAAAAAGAAATAGAGTAGCTGTGGATGGTGGCACACGCCTTTAATCCAAATACTCCAGAGGCAGGCAGATCTCTGTGATTTAAAGGTCAGCCTGGTCTACAGAGTGAATTCCAGGACAACCAAAGTTACACAGAAAAACTCTGTCTTAAAAAACCGAAAAGTGAAAGAATAGAGTAATTTTAAAAAGCCACATTTATCTGGAAAATACACAGAGTCTGGATACTGTATGTTATTGTGTTGTCTTTAAATTGTTTGACTGCTGAGGAAGGAGCAACAGCTGCTACAAGACATCTGATTATAAATGCTGCTGGATTCATGCAACACAAATTTTGAAAATACCTTGACTTCAAAATGGAAAAGAAGTTCTGCTTTTGTTTCCACAGAAAATGAAAAGCTGTGGATTTCTTCCAGACTAATATGGTTTGATCAAGCAAGGCCCCTGAAGCAGTGGCCCAGGTGATCCAACATCCAAAACATCTGAAAAGATGTAGCCTCAGACTACTGCTGCCAGGATTTGGCCAGCTTTCCAGGTTTTTTCAGGATCCCCATGCTATTGGCAGTACCCCCAAACAGCAGGAAGCAGTTTGGAGAGAACTACTCCCAAATTCCCAATATTGTTTATAAAGGTTTGGTTTCATTTAAATGGGGTTAGTTAGAAATGGTTAACGATCACAGTTAATTCTTTCTAAAGGAAAAAAAAAGGATTCTAATAAAGAAATATATACTTGATTAGTATGGATTTTGGTTTATTGATACAAATTTAAGGTCAATTTTGTTGTATGTATATTTCTACTCTTGTTTAGACATTGTGTTTACACAGTTCTTTTAAAATGTACACATTATAGTCACCTATATAGTCAAAACTTACAGTTACACTGGCTAGGTTTTCTAGATTGTATATACAGAGTTATATTTCAAATGAATAGGCATTCTTCAAAACCTTTCAAAGACCTACACAATATGGCATTTAAAATGGTTTATTAGGCCAGGCGTTGGTGGCGCACGCCTTTAATCCCAGCACTCGGGAGGCAGAGGCAGGCGGATCTCTGTGAGTTCGAGGCCAGCCTGGTCTACAAGAGCTAGTTCCAGGATAGCCTCCAAAAGCCTCGGAGAAACCCTGCCTCGAAAATCAAAAAAAAAAAAAAAAAAAAAAAAGGTTTATTAGGGTTTCTCAAGACAAAGAGACACAACTGCTCCTGGCAACACCAATTAAGTCAGAGAAGAAGGTGGGCATTGATGAAACTCATTATGGAGTTTGCCTTCGACATGGCAAGACTAACCATCTGGGCAAGAAATTGCTCTTGCCTGGACTGTTTGACTGTATGCTGTATAAACTAAAAATGCAGGACCCACAGGAAAGTGACTGCTGAACTTGGCAAAACAAGATGGGACAGCCCTTCCAGGTTCATGCTTCATGGAAGAGTATGCCAGACATTCTGCAGAACACAGAGAAGAATGACTGACGAACTGCTAGTACAGGTGGGGACAGTTTCAAATTTCCTGCTTCGCTGAAAAGTCTGCCAGACCCTCTAGGCCTGTGGGCTGAAGATGGATGCCTCAACATTACAAAATAACTTTGTGTGACTGTTCAGGCAGCAAGATGTCTCTGCCAATTTTAGAGTTTATATATTATCCTTCTGAGGTCTTTGATGGAGTTGAAGACAGTTATGGTAAAAGAAAGGTTACACATAAAACTTTAGACTCACAAAGATAGGATAGATGACAGAATATCTTAAATTTTGCCAAATGTTAATAGACTAAATATTGTTAACTATAGTTCTTGCTTGATAACTGTTTTGTTATATACAATTTTACTATGTTGAAGTTAAAACTTTTCTATTTAGACAGAAAAGCGGAGATGATGGGGTACGTTCTTCTGTATATATGTTTCTCTTATTGATCGATGAATAAAACACTGATTGGGGATGACACCAACTGGCAAACTAAGCAATAGTGGAGAGACTACCTTAAATGCCTTCCTAGAACCTTCATCCAGTGTCTGATGGAAGCAGAGGCAGACACCACAGCTAAACACTGAACTGAACTCCTGGAACCCAGTGACAGAGAAGGAGGAGTCATGAGCAAAGGGGTCAAGACCAGGTAAAACCCACAGATACAGCTGACCTGAACAAGAAGGAGCTCTTGAACCCCAGACTGACGGCTGAGAGGCCAGCATGGGACTGATCCAGGCCCCTTGAAAGTGAGTGTCAGTGAGGAGACCTAGGCAATCTACGGGGGCTTGGGTAGTAAATCAGTATTTATCCCTGGCATACAAATGGACTTTGGGTGCCCATCCCACAATGAGGGATGCTCTCTCAGCCTGGACTCTTAGGGAAGGGCCTAGGCCCTGCCTTGAATGAAATGAGACTCTGGAGATCCCCCATGGAGGGCCTCACCCTCCCTGCGGAATGGAATGGGGGTTGAGGGGACCTGGGGGGTGGTGGGGGGTTGGTGGAAGAGGGGTGGGACAGGGAGCTGGGATTAACATGTGAAGCAAGCTTGTTTCTAATTTAAATTAAAAAACAAAGCAAAACAAAAAAACAAGTATAGGTGGGAATACCAGATGAGAATTCTGGGGAGAGGACTCAGAGAGAGGACACCAGGGAGATGCCATGTAGTGGCCAAAAGGAGTAGCATGCTGGAGCATTACAGGTAAGCCACAGCCTCGCGGCAATACACAGTTTAATAGAAATGGGTTAATAATTAGGAGAGAGCTAGCAATAAGAAGCCTAAGCCACTGGCCAAACAGTTTATATAATAACTCTCTGTGTGTTTATTTGAGGCTAAATGGCTGTGGGGGTGAGAATGAAATAAACAAATGAAAAACAAAAGAAAGAGTGTTGGAAAACATTACAAATCAAAGGCATTGTCAGATCCTCTACTGTACAACAGTGCTTTTTTTTTTTTAAATAGGGCTTTGTCATTTCTCTGTCCTGTTACTAAATACATTCTCCCCCGAAGCTCACAGACAACTTCTTACTCTCAACCAAGAACTGTGCATGATAAGTTAAAACAGACTGACAAAACAATGGGACACTAATACCAATCCAATATACTTCTAGACATATCTTGGCATACTTCTATCAACATACGCACATTAAAAGTATCTATGCACATCTATTATCCCATAAGAAAAAGTAACCTCTTCATCCTAATGTTACACGGTCATTTTTTTTAAATTTTATTAAGTTTTTGTGTAGCAGTGTTTTGTTTGCATGTATGTCTGTTACCACACGTATGCATGGTGCCCACCAAGGCCAGAAGAGGGTCTCAATCCCCTGGAACTGGAGTTAAAATTGGCTCTGAGCCACAATATGAGTGCTGTAGATTGAACCCAAGTCCTATGGAAAGGCAGCCAATGGCTCTTAAGTCCTGAGCCAACTCTCCTGGCCCTGTCATGTATTTTCTAAATGTCCTTGTGAACAAAGGTACCTTCCTTAAGCCTTCTTACCTATCCACTTTACAAAAGACAACAAGTTTTTCTGGAATCAACTGCTCCACATTGGAACTGTCAATGGTACACTTACATACTCCACCTCCGAGTTCTGTGAATGTTTACATTTAACAAGACCAATCAGGGCTCTTTATTATTCACTGCACAGAAAGAGGTCATCACAGAAAGCCTGGCACTGCCATTCTAAGAAAGGCTTCTTGCAGTGGTTGTGGTGATCCCTGCTACTCAGCTGAGACAGTAGGATCACATGTTCATAGTCTACCTGCACTACAGTGAAAGTTCAAGGCCAGCCTGGGAGACTAAGTGAGATCACATCACAAAAATAAAAAATTAAGAAGGCAAATAAAACTGCTAAATGAATAAAGCAAAATGCACCTACCACCAAGCCTGACCTGAGTTTGAACCCTGGAACCTACATGAGAGAAGGAGAAAATCTGCTCCCGCAAGTTGTCCTATAACCTCCTCCATTTCCATGTATCATGACATATGCATGTCCCCTCCCAAAAGAACTACCCTACCAATAAGTTAATGTTAATTTTTTTTTAAAAAAATGGGGGAGGTGCTGAGGATGTAGCTCCTCCAAGGCCTTGGGTTCAACCCACAACACTGAAAAAAATTACACCACAAAGTGGTCTATTTCCAAGGCTGACCCCTGGCTGGTATTTATAAACTTGAATTGTGGGAGGCCATTCTGGACCTCGTAACACTGGTTCACTATCCATAGGCTACACAAATAATGTAATTTATGCCAAAGATCTGCTTCCTTTAGAGACCTTGGGATTTTGTTAAATGCTTGACAAAAGCATCAGTATAGGATAAACTATCTCTAAAAGAGATTTAGTTCTAAGTTTCTAAAAATTTTCCCAGGCAGAAATATTCATATATTGGTACATTTTTATTGTTGAGGTAGAAATTCATGCTCTATAGCCTGTGAAGATGAAGGGAAAGAGCAAGGAAACCTGCATACAGAACACAGACCCGTCCAGACTTTACTGTGCCTTTTCCCCTAGGACCTGACTATAACACATAGCAGTGCTTTGCCTGAGCGTATGTCTTTGCACTACACGCACACCTGATGCCGCAGAATCAAAACCAGGACATTGGCGTCCTCTGGAACTAGAGAGTTACAGACAGTTGTGACCTGCCACATGGGTGCTGGGAATTCAACCTGGATCCTCCGTGAGAGGAGCAAGTTCTCTTAGCCACTGAGCCATCTCTCCAATCCTTGGCTGTATATTCTTATTATATGACACAGTAATACATCTCTACCAAGTAAAACCACATAAATATCTTTTTAACAAATTACCAAACATGGAGGTAGTCACAGACACCCCACAACAAAGCCACATATCATGAACATATCAAGATTTAAATATGTCTGAAGAAGAAATAGAGTAACATTGAGGGCAATGAAAATTTTGAGATTTTTATACTATAGTTCTGAACCACTTGAACTGGTATCATAGGTACCAGCACACACTGACTAATCTTTCCTAGTGAATACTGCCGACCAACTAACCGACAATGCTATGAGAAGGGTAAACAGAACAGGAATGTCTTTAATCAAATGTAATCAAACAGTCCTAAGGTAAATCTAACTGAAGCCATATCCTATAGTGCCCTAGCAGCTTCCAGATCAAAAACAAAACCCACTGAAAAGAAATTCATCATAAAAGACATAAGGATCTGAGCCTCCATCCTCACATTAGTATCAGTGTAACATCAGCAGTACCAAGAATTAAGACATGGAAAAGAGGCTTCAAAGATTCATGAAGACATCTCATACATTACCTGTGCTAATAGTACTATAGAAAAAAATGCACTTAGGCATAAGAAGCCCAACTATTTAATACCATGTCTAAGTAGAAGCATATGCTGAGCTCCAAGCAGCTGGGCAACTCTGGATAGTACCTGCTTTTCTAGGCCCAAGGAGGAATCCTAGTAGTTCCAGAGAAGCCATCTTTTCCTGCATCTATTAAAGAGCTGGATATACTTGCTTCACTATTTAGCTTTTGACCGTTGAAAGGCTAAAACAAATACTGAGTTCAAAAAACAGCAATTCTCATGTATCTATTGCTACCTAACTTTAAAAGAAAAACCTCATTGAGATGCTATAATGGGTATAGTTGGTTTGCTCACATAACAGAGAGGTAGAAGATACAAAAGATGAGCACTGGGGTCATATGTGTTTACTTTTAAATTAGTCCCTCTACTTTTATGTATTTATTTTAATTGCTATAACTATGTACAAGGTAAAGTTTTCTTGTATTAAGGGTGTCTTTAAGTTTCTACAGTGTCTAGTCTCTGTCACTAGATGGCTTAGCAGCTGTGAGCACTGGCTGCTCTTACAAACTTGATCCCCAGCACCCACATAAAGGCTCACAACTGTCTGTTCAAGAGCATTCAATGCCCGCTTCTGTCCTCCAAAAGAGCCACGTACACATGTGGTACACAAGAAAAACCATACACACAAAACAAACAAACAAATAATTTTGAGGGGACCCTCCAAGCCTATCTATAAACTATATAACTGATACTTTAAAAATTAATCTTACTTTTTTGGTGCAAGGTTTTTTTCTTTTTAATTATATGTGTATGTTTTGTTTACATGTATGTCTATGAACCACATATATGTATGTATGGTACTTGCAGAGGCCAGACGAGATTATTGGATGTTTGTGAGCTGCCACATGGGTGATGGGATCAATCCCAGGTCCTTTGAAGATCAGCCAGTACTCTTGTATGTACATGTGTAGATACCCATGGAGGTCAGAAGACAGTATCTGACCCCACTGAACTGGAGTTACAGGCAGTTATGATGTGGGTGCTGGAAACTAAGCTTAGGTCATCTGAAAGAGCAGTAGTGACTCTTTACTCACTGATCCGTCTCTCCATCCCCGGTATGCCCTGAATATGAACTGTACACTTACATCACAACTCAGCCTGAATGAGCTGTGTTTGCAGTGCTCAAGAATCATGTATGTCTAGTGGTTAATGTACTGGACAGCACAGATCCAGATGTACTTCCCTCAGGCTATGCAGTAGAGATGGTGAACTCAAAGAATAAATGATGAACATACCTCACCTCAAACAGCCCAGAGCAGTTTGCCAGCACATACCACACACATCTAACTCATGTTTTCCATTGTTCTACCTTCAAGAACAGTTCATGAAATTTCTCTAAGCTAGCTTTCTGAGCTCATATTCCAACCTGTGTCTCTTTACTATCATACAACCATTATCGTAACATTCTTCACTATTTCAGAGTCAGACAGGGGAAGAAGAGACTTGTTCTAAAGTCATTTTATGGTGTTAAAAAAAAAAAAAGAACTCAATTAACTTAAAACTACCTTTAAGATTCCCTCAAATCCTCCTCAACAACAATAATCATGCCTGTGAGAGTACACATTTCTGTAAAGGTCCAGAATAACTGACACTAACCATGACACTACCATGGTCATACACTCCACTTCTCAGCTGCTTCACTTCAAAAGCTCACGTGGCAGAATGGCAGGGGGATCTGCTACTAGACTACTCCTAAATCATGAGGTGGCATCACAAATCTCTAACATAGTTATAAGAGAACTCTACTACTACCTCTGCTACCTCTCTTAATCATGCCAAGCCCTCTACCACTTTCTTCTACTTCTGCTAAGTCTTCACCCGTTAACCATTTAAGAGCCTACATACGTTATATATCAGGCCGGAAATGCAGCACGTAGAAGAGAAAGCATGAGTTTCATATTCTAGGTTTGTTATAACCAATTATGCTTTCAGCAACCTTATGAAGAGAATATTATCCAAACACAGACCTCAGTGCTCATACAGATTCAATAAGGAACTGAGACACTGCTGAATCCATTCCTTTTATTCATTATCTACACTAAGTCTTTTTAAACTTTTCCTCTCATTCAGGAGTAATTTGTTAGCTAATAAGGAAAACCAACATTTTTAAATCACACCTAAAAGACTTTCTAATTAAAAATGCACAACACATTCTCATTACCTGAACAAATTTGGGTGGGAATTTTTGTCTGAGGTCGACGAGTAAAGCATCCACACGCTGTCTCTGAAAAATAGAGCTTGGTTCTTCTTTCCTTTTGGCTTTAGGTTTGACTTTATCTGTTAAAATACAAAATCCAAATCAACATAGTGAACATACTCAAACCATTATGTTAATGACATCTTTATTAAGACAATTCTTCAATTACAACACAGCAAATACATAAAAGGAGTTACTAACTCTCCTTTATAAAGGATGTTAAATTCTAACATTTAAAAAGCGGACACACCTGTCTCTTAAAGATATTTCGGTTTCCGTGTGTAATTCTTCATAATTACCTAAATCATAATCCATGTTATTCAACTGAAATTACTTTTGAGTATTTTAAGTGTAACTCAATGGTTCTTTTCTGTATAATCTACTAAGAACAAATAGAAAAGACAGATTTTAGTGACTGTGCTCAAGGTTGACCTACCTAGACTACATAAGATCTGTCTCAAAAGATTGCAATTAGCCAAGTATGGTAATCCATATCTCTGTTCATCTTAGCACCTGGGAGGATAAGGCCAGAAGAATTAAGGGGTCAAGGACAGCCTTGGCTCCCGATGGAGAGATTTCTAAAACACATTCATTTATTCATTCCCATTCTCTGTCTAAGAAAAAACCTAAACATTGTATTGAGGGGAAGAATTACAAAACAAGATGATGCAAGCATAAAAGAGAATATGAAGAAATTCTGAAGTTATTCACATTTGGCATTTTCTCTGGCAGGGGGAACAGGGGTAGAGAATGGATGTAGGGACTGTCTCTACATGAAGGATTCCAAGTGACCATGCTCTAGACTCATAAGGAGGGTACAATTGCCCCTGGGTCAACTTTACTCCATTAAGGCTCACTTTCCTACATCAAACAGTACTACCTACACCCAATATAAAGAATCAAAGTACCTTATCATAAAGGCTACTACACAATTCTGAATTCTATGTAAAGGCCATTTTTTTCCTACACTTTAATTATTCTCAAAAAAAAAAAAGAAGGAAAGAAAGAAAATACACTGATATAGACACAATTCTGGACAGAGGTTTTTAGTAAAAACATGCCAAAAAACCAGCCGTCAATCAGCATCCATGGGAACTAAAGGACCTAGTGTCATGACAGATGCTAACATCAAAGAATCAGAAAGTGACCTAGGGGCAAACAAGCCTAGAAACCTGAGTTTAATCCCCAAAAGACACAAAAAAGGTAGATGTAGCACAAATTCTAATTGGTTTTAATTAAAAAAAACCCAGAGTCAGATACAGCGATAAATGCTGAAAGATCAGAGAAGCAGAGCAGCCAGCCACTCACTAGTTCTTACCTCTACTGAATCCTCAGATCAAATGAGGGATCTTGTCCCTGGGAATCGTCAGACTGAATGCTGTTTCTATGAAGCCTCAGACTGCCTTATATTCTTCTCTCTGCCCAGCCACATCACTCCTGTCTCCACCTCCCTAGTGCTAGAATTAAAGGCATGGGATCCAAAGTGCTAGCTCTGTTTCTCTTTGAGACTGGATCAATCTAGTGTATCCCAGGGTGGCCTTGAACTCACAGAAACCCTTCTGCCTCTGCCTCCCGAGTGCTGAGATTAAAGGTGTGTGCCACCACTACCTGGTCTCTATGGCTAACTTGTAGCTTAGCTCCGCACTCTGATCATCAGGCAAGTTTTATTTCTTAGATCACAAACAAAATATCACCACAGGTGGATGTAGAAAACCAATTCCAGAGTTGTCCTCTGATATCCACACATATGCTGTGATACACAATAATGCATGCAGCTTACATGAATATCACACATTCACACACACTGTCAAAAGACAGCCAGCAAAGAACCTAATCAACTAGGGATATAATTTGGAAGTAAAGTGCTTGTCTAGCATGCCTAAGGCCCAAGGTTTAATCCTTAACACAATGAGAGGGGGAGGGGGGAAGAAAGGGGAAGAAGGGAGGGAACATAGTCTGGCCATCTGAAGAAAAGACACCAAGAATAGTATCTCATCTTCTGACTTTAAAGACTACAGAGCTGAACAGCTTCAAATTCCAAGACAAGCTAAGAAGTAAAAAAATACCTTTGCTCAATCATCACCAAGGTTTCTCCTCTTTATGTTCCAAAAAATTTAAAACTTTATATCTTCCTTATAAAATTTATGGACATGTGACCTCATGGGCAAAACAACTGTTCTGATGTTACTATTACTGCACCTATGACATAAACACAGGGGCAGTAATACTATCATATGAGAAACTAAAACCTGTCTCGGTAACATCACAATCTCTGGAGCTGCATCTTCAGAGTATCACACTGTTTCGGAGAGCCGAGGCACTTTACTTACCTTGCTCTTCATGATCTTTAAAGTGCCACCAATACCCTTTGGAAGGATGATATCGACAGTATGACATAGCTTCATCAAAAGCTGACTGAATACCATGCACTGCAGTAAGCTTGTAAAACAAAACAAAAATCAACAGATTCTAAATCTCTCATGAGGTAAAACGTCCTAAGTAAATATAAAATATTACATATGCAAAGATAAAAATTTCCTGTTTTCAGAATTTACATTACCATTTAACTGGAGTTGTAATCACCCTGGTATTTGCAAGGAATTATTCCACACTCACATTCCTTATAATTAGCATTTCTGGGTAAACTATGAACTCTCGCCAATATTCCTTAAATCATCTCTAGATCACTCACAAGACCTAACATAAAATAAGCACTATACAGACAGCTGTTACAATATATTGTTGAGGGAATAATAAAAAGGGGAACAAAAGCATAGTACAGTTCTTTTTCCAAGGGTTTTCATGCATGTTACTAATGATGTGGAGCCTGCAGCTCTTCAGAATCTATATATTAGCACTGATTTGACCCAGAGTATCAGTGCTCAAAACCCTCCAACAGTCAACATTTCATACCAGCTTACACAAAATAGAAGAACTCCTACTTTAGTCTCAGAGCAGGATATCTAAATTAGAAGTCTGCTTTAATGTTCAAAGAATGAAAAAAACAAAAACAAATAAACAAACAAACTAGGTGTGCGGCACATATCTGGAATCCCAGGACTTGGGAGATGGAGGCAGGAGGACCAGGGATTTGAGGTCATCTTTAGGTACATGAGTCCAAGGCTACTGTCTTAAGAGAAAAAAAGGAAGAAGGGGGAGAGGGAGGTAGAGGGGAGGAGAGGTGAAGGAAGGGGAGGGAAGGAAGACAGGGAAGGAGGAAGGGAGCGAGGGAGGGAGCGAGGGAGGGGGCAAGCGAGGGAGGGAGGGACGTAGGTAGATGTGAAGGTAGGTGAAGACACATACCACTCTGGAGTTTATAACTGATCCCAAGTCTGGTGCCTGATAGATGACTCCAGCAATGATATAGTAATCAGCCAGTGGGATAACTAAAACAGCAGGAGAAAATGCTCATAAATACATCTTGTATATACGGAACTGTAAGGGAAGGTATGGCAATTTCTCTACAAGTATGCAGTCACACACACTGTTCGTTTATATGTTACCTATGTTAACAGCTGAGTAGTTCCATTCACAAAGTCTAAAAAGTTTATTCTCTGCCCTTCGCAGAAAACGTATACCAATTCTTACCCACAGCAGGGCAGAGCTTCTCAAACCCCAGGCACATCTGAATCAAGTTTAATGAGTTCAGTGCATCTTAAGATTATTAAAATGTGAGTCTAACTAAGTTCATGTATAGGTATACATAGCACATCTCAGTGTACTAAGCAATGTCAATGCTGTCAGTCAACCAAACTAAGATGTAAGACTGAAGAACATGAGAGGTTTAGAGACTAGAGTGAAGATATCTGATACATTACATTTGCCTCTGAGTCCCAGGACTGAGCCCTAAGGACAAAGATAACTACTACTGAGCTTGATACCATCTTGTGTCATTACTATATCCTGAGTGTTCTCAAGAAGCCTTGCTCATTATCCACAGATCTCCTTTTCTCTATAGAGACTCTAGACCTTTCATTCTGAAATAAGATTTGGATTCTGAATTGTAACTTCTTTGGCAAGTGATTCTCTGATATTGAAAGGATCCAAGGAAAAGAATGTTCTCCAAGTATCATTATGTAGAGCATCTACTTGAATAATGTCTCTCAACAATACCACCCTAGTTTCTACTTTGAATAATCTCTTCTTCAATGAGACACTCTGCAAAATCTTGGCTTGATCCCAAGGTGTCTTGAAGTACCAGTCATTGCTAAAGTACATGCCTTAGCTCTCTAGTTCAAAAATCAATCTGGACATATTTACTCTTCAATGTTGTTTCTTAAGCAAATATTCATTTGGTACTAAAACCCAGGTAAGATTTTTGGTTGAATGTGTCACTTACAGATACTCAGTGGACACTCTATGAATTTAATAAAACTATATAGGCCATGTATTTTACAAAGTATTAACTCAGAGACCAAGAAATGAAAGTTATTCGGGAGGCTCAAGGCCCAGTGGGAACTCAACTGTGCTCACAGGAAGAGGGGAACGAACTATCTATCTGACTTGCAGTACTACCAGAATTTTTGATATACTGCCTGCCCAACCAAAATATACACCATGAATTCAGGTGAAAACTGGTTCCTACCGGAAGCCTTCAATTCTAGTGGGTAGAAAATCCCTAGGTAATCAGTCCTCAAAAAAACCCCTTATGTTCAGAATTTCAAATGGCTTCCTGGAGTAGAAATATGTATGTATGTATGTATGTATGTATGTATGTATGTATGTATGCATGTATGTATGTATGCATGTATGTATGTATGGCTTCATCTCATGCTGACTAGAAGGCACATTTAGTATGGATCCTCAGAAGATGTGGAGTCCTACAATGTCTTTTCCTGTGATTTGTCTAGTTGTGTATCCTTACTAGGCAGCTTCTGGCCATAAGTACAATAGATACTCAGTCTGATGAGTACACCCCTAACAAGTACTGGACATATATGTAGTTTACGGAACTTGATGCAAACAAACAAACAAACAAACAAGGAGTGACATACCAGTTCCTAAATGATATGCCAAAATCCCTTATTTAAAAACAAAATAAAGTACACAGGTCAGAAGTAAATGAATTGTGGTGTTTTGCACGTTTTTACCTTGAGCAGGGGACTGCCGCTGTTGCTTTCTAATGATGAAAAGAATGGGCTCTTGAGCATGTAAAAGGATGTATTCAACTCCAACCATCTGACTGAAATAGAGACATACAGAGATCTTTGAATGATTCCTAAAACTCTGTAGGACACTTAAATTACCAAAGAGATTGCAACAGCAGTATAAAAAGGGAACAAAAATTGCTTATGATTAATGTTAAAAGTTGGCTATTGAATAAAACCAGCTATTTTTCCAGACATTTGATATATAGATTAAAATGTGGTTTTTAAACAAATTTATACATTTATAAAAATTCATGAGTTTAAATTTGGTTTAGTAAGATTATGCTTAAAACTACAATAAGTTACCTTCAACAGTTATAGTTACTCATAGCAACAGCTATTTAAAATACAGAAATTAAACTCTGTAAGACCACTGAGCCATCTCCCCAGCCTAAAACTTTTGGTTTTCCAAAGAGTCAACTGTGACAGTCACCAATCACCACACACAGGCAAAATGATAGATCACTGCAAAATCTATACTTGGCAAAGGTGCTTCCTTCTTAAAACTTACTTCAAGTGCTCTAATGTTAGCCTCTGCATCTTGACCACTTCATTATTACATGTCCTGTCATAAAAAGGATTGCTTCTTTCTGAAAAGTAATCCAGGACACTACCACTGTTCAAAATGGGGATCCAAGAGCTGTCAACCCAAGAGATTCCCAACAGATTATCTATAGGAAAGAAATAAAAGAATTAGAAACGGTAAAAAACCTAATCCAGTGAATATCTACTATGTGTTGTAAATTAATGACATAGGTTCTGTCCTATGTACTCTTTTATTTTTGGTTGTGAGCCTAGCCTTTAACACTGAGCCATCTTCTCTCCACCCCAAGCCTATGTACTCTTAACAGAAGAGGGAAATATGAAAAAGGAACACAGTAAGGACTATAGTAACGTTAGAGACAAATTAATCACAAAAGCACAATAGGGGAACAAAACACTTTATGGAGGAAATGCAAATTATTTTTCCTGAAGCAGGACGTGGTTTTTACAGTGTTAAAGAAGAGAGACTCAGCCGGGCGTTGGTGGTGCACGCCTTTAATCCCAGCACTCGGGAGGCAGAGGCAAGCGGATCTTTGTGAGTTTGAGGCCAGCCTGGTCTACAGAGAAAGTTCCAGGACAGCCTCCAAAGCCACAGAGAAACCTTGTCTCAAAAAACCAAAAAAAAAAAAAAAAAAAAAAAAAAGGAGACTCAGAGTGAAGAAGAGTAAACTATTTCCCAGCAGAGAAAACTCATACAAAAAGGTACAAAGATAAAAAATATTGTTTATATTTTTTAATTTTGAATAGTTTGATTGGATAAAGAAGTGTTAAGATTTAAGATCTAGACAGATCTTTTTAAAGATTAGAAATCCAAAGTTTTTAAATGCTGACAACTGATACAAAATTTTACAAACACACCCACAACCATTGTTTACAAATCCTTCCATTGGCAAGCAAGGAATGTTAGGGAGATTCTACTACAGACAAGAGGTTAATGATGTCCCTTTTTACAGCCATAATGTTTCAGCTCCAGAGTCAAATTAAATCTTAATTTTCAAAAAGACATGGTTAGATCTAAAAATTGTGATGAAGACCTTCAGGCCATAGCACTCTGGGAGGCTAAGACAGGAGGATCAAGAGACTGAGGCCAGCTTGGGCTATATATGATCCTGTCTCAAAAGACATGGTGAATTAGTTTTCTATAACTAGTGAGTTTTATTGTGCACTGACTACTAGGTGATGATGTTTAAGATCAGTGCCTACTAAACACCACTAGAGTTAAGTTATAAACATGAATACTGGTTGAAAAGCTTCACCTCTTCTATACAGCTACTCTGGGCACCTCTGAAGAAGTCAGATCTAACTCAAGGTGACAAGTAATCCCATGCAAAATCAACCAAATGTAAAAAAAAGTTGCTACATGTAAAAAAATAAAAAATAATAAATTGTGCTTTATGTGTTTTAAAATAAAGGAGACAAGCAGATGATGTATGTTAACAAAATAATACCAACTCTCTCTCACTCTCTCTCCATATATATGTATGAGTGTTTGTACATATATATGTGTGTATATATATATATATATAGATATATATGGATAAAGTCATAGCCAAAATTATAAAAACAGGAAATAATGTTTTCAGAAAAATATATATTTTTTCTAATTAAAATCAACATAGGGGAGCCATAATTAAGATTTAAATTCTCTACTTCTACTAACAATTTTATTTACTGTAAAACAGGCATTTTTTTATTTAGCTATTTTAGGAAATTGACTTTTTTTTCCTTAAAAATGTTTCTTATGTATTATCTTTATATTATTTATCAGGCATAATCATTTCATGCTTATATCTATTAACTAATCACACATACAACATTATGTGTGCTAAATGCTTGGCACACTGTAACTCAATAAATGTTAACTGTGACAGTGGGAGAGGTCGTCTTGTCTCCCCTCTCATGGCAATTTTAATATGTTATTAATAATTCTCATATCATAACCATAAACACAGAAAAAATGTGTTCCCATTAAGTTGTGAGTTTTTATTCATCAAGAAAATACTCATCAAATGCTTACAATTCATGACTTAAGGCCAAGGCAAGTATGATTTACTCGATTAACCACAGATCTTTATCCATCAGTTTAAATAGCCTCATATATCCAAGGACATTTAACTACAAAATACCTGGAATGAAAAGTATAGTCTCTGACTGAAAAAAAAAAGTGTATTTGACCCACTTCAAGATAACCTGTGGTCACACGTTATAAATAGAACTGCTAACAAATCAAGCAGATTCATTCACTTCTCACTAGTGCAGTTATCACCTTTTCCCAAGCTATCTACAATTTTCATCCATTCCAGAAAAGTCATCCTGTTTTTTTTTTTTTTTTTTTTTCTCGAGACAGGGTTTCTCTGTGGCTTTGGAGGCTGTCCTGGAACTCGCTTGGTAGTCCAGGCTGGTCTCAAACTCACAGAGATCTGCCTGCCTCTCCCTCCCGAGTGCTGGGATTAAAGGTGTGCCCCACCAACACCCGGCATCATCCTGGTTTTTTAAACTCTACCCTTGCCTTCCTACACTACTCTCAGCAGTGAAAATAACCTAAAAAATAAATACATAAATTAAAAGAGAGACAGAACATGCCATCCCCATTGACCAAAACTCTACAGTAGCTTCCTGTCTTACTCAGAGGAGGTAAACCTTACCCTAGCCTACAATACTTCTCTAATTTATCTTTCCACATCTTCTCACTATCCCCGCACCTCTGTCTTCCCTCTAAACATCAAACACATTACAGTGATGCTAACAAACCCAGATAAGTAAAATACTGAAAATGCTAAATAATCAAGTATGGTATAATGAACTACATTTTTCTCTTTCATGTTCATTTAATACCAAGACGGCGTGGTGAACAGCTGTCAGCGTAGTACTCAGCAATCTTAGAAACTTGAAACTCTTCACAAGGGAAGACAAGCAGGTAAAAATGTGACCCATAGCCGGGCGTTAGTGGCGCACGCCTTTAATCCCAGCACTCGGGAGGCAGAGGCAGGCGGTTCTCTGTGAGTTCGAGGCCAGCCTGGTCTACAGAGCGAGTTCTACGACAGCCTCCAAAGCCACAGAGAAACCCTGTCTCGAAAAACCAAAAAAAAAAAAAAAATGTGACCCATATATACTGACGACCACTACTATACACAAGCTAGCTGGAACCTCAGTTCACCTAAGATAACAAAAGGTATCTCAAACACTTTAAAAAAAATGAAACATGCTCATTCAAGTAACCCTAATTAATTAAACTCAACACACACACACGTAGATGATGAAGTTGTTGGGAAGAAGAGGTTGGAAAGATAAAAGACGGTAATTGGTGGTGCATATGATCAAAATACATTATATGCATGTATAAAATTGTCAAGAAGAAAAACGAAATACATACAAACAAAACGAACATGCTGCCGAAGAACAAGAAGCAATGAAGAGGTTGCATCTCAAATTTATCTAATCTCTGACTCAATGAAAATGACAACACCGCTACAGCCCGCCAAAGATAACTACTGAATGGTAAATGAAAGGTTTACAAGCTAAAAATTAAAACATTAATACGAAGATTGGGGATTTCTGTCAGGGCATTAGTAGGATAAGTCCTTATTTTATTCCACTTCTCTCTTCCCAAAAGCTATCCCTGCGCCCCGATATAACGCCCCAGCAGTGTGGTAGAAAAGGCCAAAACTGCTTCTAACTCCTCCGTTACGATTCTTCGTCGGAATCCGGGAAAACCCGACAATTTTTCGTCAAATTAAAGTCTTAGATTGTTCAGAAGCCACTCAAAAGAACTTGAGAGACCTCACAAAAGGGTATGAAGCTGACCTCGGTGAGCTATAAACACCCAGCAAACCACAACCTGGGGGTTGGGGAGAGCGTAACATAAATTACCTCGGATATCTACCGCCGCCATAATTCCCAATGCTCTGGTAGAGCTTCCTTCCGGCGCACAGTAAAGGTAATGACTACTGCGACGGATTGGCGGTTGCCGTCCGTACGGGAAGCAAGGAGGACAAAAGTATTCTCGCGAAACGCGGAGGCGGGACGGGGTGGGGAAAGATAAAGTGGAAGGAGCCGGGTTGAAGTTTTGCTGTTGGACACCTGCGAGGATAAAAAAGGCGAAGCACCTGGTGGTGACCAGGAGGTGGGAGAGGTGGGACCCTCAGAGGAGAACCGGGGGGAAGGGAAGGGAAGGGCGGGACCTGTGGAGTAAGAGAAAGGAGAGCAGCGTCGCCGTGCAAACTGAAACTGGCTGAGCCCAGAGGGACAGAGCCAGACCAAAATATAGGCAAAGTGTCAAGGCATAACAGTGGAGAAAGTAATTCTATTTACAGGTAAAGAGGTTGAACAGAGTCCCACCTCATGCACACAACTGATATTCTAAAATTCTCCTCTAAACCGAGTCTAAGGGCTCTCACTTGTAATCCCAGGTCTCAGGAGGCAGAGCCAAGTGGATTGCACAAACAGTATTTTTAAAATAATAAAACACCTCATACAAATGAGCCGATATTTAGCAGAGAATTCAAAAGTCTTTGGCTTGCCCTGTTAGCTGAGCCCATTAAAAACCTAAGCCAGTTAGAAACCTGAATTAATTTATGACTAAATTTCACAAAATAGGAAGTGCTTCTGAGGTAAACTTAATACAAGATTAAGAAAAAAGGAATGCTCTGAGTAGTGTCCAAGTTGCAGATGGTCTGGAACAGGCAGATTGACTATAGATAGGGAGCAATTCTGAAGGCATAGAAAACAACAGGAGGACTTTTTGTGTCTAGTGTGGATTTGTAAAAGCAAAATGATAGAGATGCCTGCAAACAAGACAAACCCCCAAAACCTGAAGGAAGGAGCCTATATTCTCAAAACTAAGTACTACCCAGCCCCCACCCCCAGCATTTAATCAAAAACAACTTGTAAGGCAGGATTTTTCCAATCATAGGCCAAGGAATAGCACATTTTAAATCTCAGTGTAATAAAAGCATACTGATTATTTACTTCAACTTTCGAACTACAATTTTGTTGTTGTTTTTCGAGACAGTGTTTCTCTGTGGTTTTGGAGGCTGTCCTAGAACTCACTCTATAGACCAGGCTGGTCTCGAACTCACAAAGATCCACCTGCCTCTGCCTCCTGAGTGCTGGGATTAAAGGCATCCACCACCAACGCCCTTCTCGAAATAGCTGAAATGATGTGGATGAAAGAATTGTTCACAACGAAGTATGCACATGCCGAGCTAGGTTTTTTTTTTTTTTTTTTTTTTTTTTTGGTTTTACGAGACAGGGTTTCTCTGTATTGTTTTGGAGGCTGTTGCCCAGCCCGGCCTCGAACTCACAGAGATCCGCCTGCCTCTGCCTCCGGAGTGCTGGGATTAAAGGCGTGCGCCACCACCGCCCGGCTCCGCACTAGGTTTTTAAATACAGTTTCAGCAGGAATCAGCAAGCTCTTTGTTTTATTTCACCGACCTTGTTTCCTTGTATTGGGACAGGCTGTGACAGAATACAAGGTAAGCATGATAAACCAGATGCATGTTAAGTCAGACTAAGGAAGTCCATTGGATTTTGCAGGCAACGGAAGAAATGTGATTGAACTTCCGGTTTCAGAAAGTTGCCTTAAGGAGGATGAGTTGGAAGTATTCCTAAGACTCAAATCAGGGAGTCTTTTTAGGATGTCATTGGAAACTAAATGATGTCTCCACTAATAAAAATGATTGGACAGGGAGGGGAATGAAAAATATTTAGGTGACAGAATTAAAGAGCAATGGTGACTAATAACCTGCTGAGGGAGAGGAATTAAAAGTGATTGATAAAACCAGATGTGATTGATCAACTCAGAAGTAACAACAGTGAGTAGATGAAAATGAAGAACTGTTTATTTTGTACATTGGTTTTTGTTACACATGGTAGTACCTGGAAGGCATCTAATAGACCAGGGTTTCTTGGGATTCTTGCTGTTGAGATTTGGAGCCAATGAGCTCTTCTCATGAAATAACAGGAAGCTGTCCTGTCAATTGCTTAGTACCCAACAGGGTCTCCTTTGCAATAGGTGCTCAGCAATATTTGTTGATTGAGCTAATGCTTGAATAAATGAACAGGTGGTTTGACAGCCTTCGGGACAATAATAAACTCCTCGAATTCAACAGTAAATGAAATGAGAGATTGTTAAATGGAAATGGATTTGTGGTAAGTTCATCTTAAGGAAGTGCCTCAGCCCGTCATTAGCTGCAGCCCTCTGAAGAGAAGGCCCCGAACCTCGCCTGGGCACAGTAAAGCTGACCCTTTGATGGGGTACAGGTGAACCAGCTCCAAGGGTGTGAGCATTCGAGAGCTGGCCCCACTACTGTGTGGGTGAGACAGAGATTCTCCCCCTTACCCCTTGCCACCTTCAGCAGGTGGGAGAGCTGGTCCCCGTGTTATGGAGAGTGGACGAGCTGGCCCTGCCCTCACCAGCTGCAGCACTCAGGAGAGCAGACCCTGCACCTCACCTAGGCAGCACAGTAGAGCTGAACCTGTTGATGGAGGCAAATATGGCCAGAGAATGTAAGTATGGCCATATGGAGAGATTGCTCTCTCCCCCACCCCCGCCCCACACCACCTGTGACAAGTGGCGGAGCTGGCCCTGAGGTTAGGAGAGCAGGAGAGTTGATCCTGTCTCTCACAAACTGCAGCACTCAAGACAGTGGCCCCTGCAACACAGTAGAGCCAACCCAGATGGTGTAGGTGTGGGGGAGCTGGCCCTGAGGGCATGAAAGCAGGAGAACCAGCCCCGCCCCTTGCTGATTGCTGCACAGGAAGAACTCGCCAGGGAAGTGCTGGAGAGCTCACTCTGGTGGTGAGGACACAGGTGGTGGGCTGCCAGAACCAGTGCTATGAGTTGGCCACCCCAACATCCATCCTAGCTATGATCTGCTGGAGCAGGTGAAGGGGCCAGTCCTGGAGACCCAAAACTGCAGGATCTCTACAATACTGGAAATAACAGGATAACCAAGAGGAGTCCCAGTATCAATAGTGTAGCAGAATCCAGAGGCCTCAAACCAGACCAATGACTCATTGCAATGAGCACTTGCAGATAAAGATATATAGACTAAAATATATAGTTTGTGACTCACTGTGTCACACTACAGGTTCTTCTGCAACATTTTTCTTTTTCTTTTTTTTTTCTTTATAATTTTCTCTTAAATTTTACTTCATTTTATTGGGAGGGGCTGTTGGGAGCAGAGCACGGATGTCAGGGAGGAGGAAAATGAGTAGGTTCAAGATGCATGGTGTGAAAGCCACAAGGAATCAATAAAAACTTAAAAAAAGAAAAGGAGGAAAAGAAACTCCTAAGATCTCTCCTGTCTAGAGAACAATGCAAAACACACAACAAAAAATTCCGTTCATGCTAATCCTTTAGAAAGTGTTCTAGAAAATATGAAGTCTGTGTAAGATGTTTTCTCCTCTTATAATGAGGAAATTCAGATATTTCATAATATAAATGAGGGTATAAAATAACATCAGGATTGCAGAGGCAACACCTCTGAAAAGTCATTCTGGAATCTCTCAAGTGGCCCAGAGAGAGGCCAAGTATCAAGATGCTTTGTGTATTTGTTAAAAGAAAATACATCATTCATAGGGCATGGAGTATAGGACATAACTTTTGAAAACAGCTGTTTACCTAGGGCAAGTAGCTGTAATTGTAAAATAATCCAATAACTAGGGCTTTAACCCTACAATCCCAAACAAATAAACAGAATCCAGAAGAAACAGAATCACCAGCACCTAATGGGTGTCAGTATTCTCACTATAGAACATTCATTAAGGGTCTGTGGTGTTGAATAGCACTGAACTTCAAAGACCCCCATGAGGCAACCAAAAGCACTAACAATGACAAACTAGATGATCAGAACCCCACATCACAGTAGACAATCCCTAACCATCGTCATGTTCTTTGGGATTAAGGTCCCTGAGTTGCTTAACAGATTCTGGAGTGTCAAGTGGAAGTCAAATAGCTGTGTGTCAAGTGACAATCACAGAAAAGAGCAATAACATGTAAACCTGCTGATAAACCCTTCTCATGGACCTATGAGTAGAGGATTAGGCAGCTTCCTGAATAAAACTATCAAGGAGGGGGGCATAGATGTGGTGATATATTATTCATGACTTATTAAAGCTTGCCTGAGGATTCAGAAAAGCAAACTCCGTCTCAGGCTGTAAAGATCAGGCAGTGGTAATACACACCTTTACTCTCAGCAGCCACAGAATTAGGAGGTGGTGGTACACACCTTTAATCCTAAGACTCAGGATTAAGAAGTAGACAGATCTCTGTGAGTCCAAGGCCACCCAGATCTACACAAGATTGATCCAGTCCTAAGGAGAAACAACTCACACAAAGATGATCTCAGCACCTGGGATCACACACCTTTAACCCAGCACTAGAGGGGTATAAAAGATAGGAGCAGGGTCTTCAGTAGTCAGGATCAGACATCCATTTTCCAACCACACTGAAGATAGGAAGACACTGAAGTCTCAGGATTCTCTAGCCACGCTGAGGAAAGGCTTCAGTATGGGGTTTGGCGGAGCCAGGATTGCCTGCCATTCTGAGTAAGAGCTAGTGACCAGATGCTTTACTTTTCTGGTCTTCAGCTTGAAGTTTGAGGCCCAATATCAGTCTCTAGGTCTTTCATTTACCATGCAACATGAGCTCAGTGGTAGATGCTTCCCTAGTATGGGCAAGACCCTGGGCTGCATCTCCAATTCAAAAGAAGTTGTAGTCACGCATGATGGCACACATTTGTAATCCCAGCAGTTGTGAGACAGAGGCAGGAAGATCACTGCAAATTCAAGATCAGTCTGTTCTAGAGAGTGAGTTCCAAGCCAGCCAGGATACACACCATCAACCCCCTTCCAAGAACCCCTAGATTTTATTAATGATAGAATCAATTGAGCCTGGTATTCTTGTTGCTATTTTTTTGTTTTGCTTTTATGAGACAGGGTTTCTCTGTATTGTTTTCGAGGCTGTCGGTCCAGCCCAGCCTCGAACTCACAGAGATCCACCTGCCTCTGCCTCCTGAGTGCTGGGATTAAAGGTGTGTGCCACCACCCCCCTGCTTCTTGTTGCCATTTTAATCTGGGCCTTTTCTACATGTGGGTCTCACTGTTAGTTGTATTTATTTCATGACTAAAAGCACCAAAGATGTATCTAATTTGATTGTATGCCTTTAAAAAGCCGACTCTCACCTTAATATATTTTATTCTTTCATTTATTTCTGCTCTTTTTTTCTGTTTTTTTTTTTTTGAGATAGGGTTTCTCTGTAGCTTTGGAGCCTGTCCTGGGACTGATTCTGTAGAGAGGCTGGTCTTTAACTCACAGAGATCCATCTTCCTCTGCCTCCCGAGTGCTAGGATTAAAGGTGTGCACCCACCCGGTTTATGTCTGCTCTTGATCCTGCTCATTCTTTCTACTTCTTGTGTATTCCCGCTATTTAAAAAAATTAACATCTCATTATTGCTCTTTTAATCATTTAGTGCTATAAATTTTCTTTAAGAAAACACTTTCCACTGTATACCTTGAGTTTGGTGCACAGTGTTTTTGTTTTCATTTTATTCTGAGGGTTTTTTTTTAAGTCTTGACTCTTTTTTTTTAAACCCTGAGTTGCTTGTGTGTTTCTTAAATATATAAATATATGTGATTTTTAGTTTTATCTTTTTGCTATTATACTTGCCATGCTCTCAGAAAAATATCTTCTACAAAATACCTAACCTTAATACTTGTCAAGTTTGCTTTGCCTCTGACATGATTATGTTACAACTGTGTTTTGAAATAAGTTCTGTTTGACATGGAACTGGCCCAGCCTCCCCACTGTTGTATGGTAATGTGTGGTGCCATACTCTGAGACATATAGACTTCACTGAGTGCCATTTTCTTCTCCACCTTCGCACATGCAGCCCAGTACACGAGAGAGCAAATGTGTATGTAGGTGATTAGGCAGGCAGGCAGGTGTGTATGCACACAGGCACTCACGTGCACACACACACACACACACACACACACACACACACACACACACAGGAACAAACCAAGAACACTTACCTAGAATAGTCTACTATGTGTAAGCAAGGTTAAAACAAAGGACCAAAGTTGAAACAAAACATTTTACAAGTCTGCAGATGCTGACTGTAATAAATGAGAAGACTGCATGGACAGGGAGAAAGCAGGAAACAGTGTCTGGGGAAATATGCTCCCTGTAGCATCTCTCCGCTGATATGTGAAGAAATTATGTATGTCCATTCCCACCACTTCTTAGAAGTAGAAAAGGCCAGGCATTTCGGTGACTGGATGATTCTATCTTCCAACCCATTTTCTTGTTAATTTATCTTGGGCTTGGTTGCCTGGTAACGCTGGTCCCAGACCTGCCTTCCTTGTAATTACATTTTCATGTTCTCCAGTCCCTACCTCCTGCTGAGTTTTCCTGCAGTTCACACTTTGTTTCTAAATCAAAGCTGGGTAGATGTAAAGAAATCATTTTCTGTTCTCAGAACCATGCATGAACTATGTTGATGTAAGAATATTTACCAAGTATTTACTGATAGAAGGAAATGTCTGGATTCATATTCAATTTCCTGCTGCTGGAAGCAGCCCATTTCCCCCACTGATGTCTGGCTCTATGAAAGTGGCTTTATGTGAGCATGACAAAAAATGCAAACTCATTTTTATTTTCTAATAGCTGTCAAGGGTAAGACTAAATGTTACTTCACAGATTTTAGTTAAAAGAAGATTGACCCTTAATAACAGAAGAAAGTGTTGAAATGACAGACTTTGTAATAAAATTCATTTTCTCATCCACCCACGTCACACATTATTTCCATGTTAGATACAGATAAAGAGTATCGATGCGTATAATTTTCAGATAGGTAGTGTACTGTGTAAAATGTAAAACCATACTCTGCATGTGCTATTACAAGCTGAGACTGCCCATCTGATTTATGGCCTAATCGCTGAAAGAAACCAAGTTCCCTTCCTTGGTCTTTCTTTATTCCCTAAGCTGTTTAGTTGTGGTTGGGTATAAAATGATCATGTAAATAAATATTGTAATAAAAAGTAAAAATGATTTAACAGATGTGGTAAGGATACGGGGAACCAGTCAACTATAAAACCCCCAGAGAAGTGTCCTAGTTATCATCGCAAAACCCAGATGCTAGATACCGACTTTGCAAGAGTCAGTGTCTGCCATGGTAGATTTCGTCTTCCTCAGTCTGGTTTTTCCTTGCTCTCCTCCCATCTATCAGTTTTGGGCAGGGAAGGTTTATTCTGTACCATTGTATATTTGAAGTAGATAACTTTTTAGAAAACATTCTGTAGTGGCTCATGGTTAACAGATTGCCTTGAACCTCAGAAGAGAATTTGGGTTTTGGACTTCTGAACAGTGTGGGAACTTTTAGAGATGGGCTAAGTATACTTTGCATTATAAGATGAAAATGAAATATTAGCGGGTGAAAGTAAAATGTCTTCATTTAGACCAATGTATTTGGATTTCTAGTTGACAAAGGGTGCAGTTATCAACCTTTTTGGATTGAGACTCCCTGGGGATCCATACCTCTGGACATATTGATGAGTGTATCCGGAGAGTTTAACTGAATAAGGAAGAAAGGCTCACCTTGACTGTGGGTTACACCATCCAATGGGCTGAGATTCCGGGCTTTTAATAAAACAGAAAACTAACAGCACCAGAACACACCCCTGACTACACCACAGTGCAACCATGTGCCTTATGCACTGGCTGCAATGATCTCCTTGCCATGGTGAATTGTGCTCTCAGCCTGTGAGCCAAAGAAAACGCTTCCTTCCTTAAGTTGCATTTTATAAGTATTTTGTCACACGAGCAAGGAAAGTAACCATAGGCATAGCAAACATCAGTACAAAGATTTTACAAAGGTGATGTCTCTATCTGCTGGTGCTAATGTTGGCTGTCATCATTCAAGCCAAACACTAAAAATATCAGAATAAACCCTGGCCTTGGTGAGATGTGGGTAAAACATTTGCTTCACAGCCTGACGACCTATATTCAGTCCCTGGGGCCCACGTAAAGGTTGGAGGGAAGAACTGATTCCACACAGTTACCATCTGAGGGCCACACGTGGACCAACACATTCGCATCATGCATACACGATAATAATAATAATAATGAATTTTTATAAAAAATCTTAATCCTGACCTAGTAGTCCTGTTTGTTTGTATGTTCTCAAGATGGGGTTTCTTTGTGTAGTCTTGGCTGTCCTGGAACTCACTCTGTAAACTTGGCTGGCCTCAAGCTCAGAGATCCACCAGCCTCTGCCTCCCAAGTGCTGGGATTAAAGGCATGCGCCACCACTTCCCCGACGTAGTTCTCTATAGAAAGACATATTCAAGGATTGCTGCCATATTGCTTCAGTATGCCTTGCTTGATCACGCTCCAGGAGATGAAGCTGTAATAAACACTTAGGAATAAATAGATTAGTGTCAATAATGTTTCCTTGATATTTAGTATACACAAGCTAACATAATTTTAGACATAAAATATGGTTAATATAAAATATAACAATACTAAAGTACAACTAAGTTGCAAAGTATCAGCAAAAATATAAATAATAGTAGATGCTTCAATATTTCATACTTAGGCCAATCAGTCCTAAGCACATAGACAAATCTTTGCATTTAACCTCCCAGCAACATGATGAGGCAGTCGTTTTAAGTGGTCAGCATTCACACAAAAAACAGAAGTTTAAGAAAGTTAAACAAGCCACTCAAGGTCACTAACTCCATCAAGAATAGAGCCCATATCTCCAAAAATCCTAACTCCTTCCCATTCAATTTGGATTTTAGCACATTAAACACAACTGAAATTCAAACAGGCATTAAAACTTGAATAGTTAATAAAATCTTGAGTGTGATTTTCCTTGTAAAAGGAATGGGTACAATGCTTTAGCTTGGAACATAGTCACGAACATGAGTAGGATCGTGTTCAAAGAGGGCTGGGTAAAACTATACCATTAATGACAATGCTGAAAGAGGAGCCTGCAAGATATGTGCAGCCTATCTCATTACGAACTGATGGGCATAGAAATCTTGACTTGTTCCAGAATGCCCTGGCTCATCAGTATGGGAACTATATTACAGAATGAGAATTCAAATGTCAGTATGGAAAATACATTGAATACACATTAACCAATAGTTCTTAACTATAGAGGTAAGCAGAGACTACCAAAGTGATAAACACAAATACCTCGTTGTGGGGCAGGAAGGGATTGTTCCCTTGTGTCAGAACACAAGCAAAAGAATGACCCATGGTGAGCAATTCCTTGGGGAACTGTGAGAGAGACTCCAGGAAAAGATGCAGAGGACCTTTTGCCCCAAGTGCCTTTTGTTCTCTGGATTGTTCTTGGTCATGATTTCATGCCTCCTGTAACAAACATTAACATTCAATTTGTAAGCCATGCTCATTCGTGTCAGATGTCAGAACAGCTCTAGAACCCAATCTGCTTTTGTGCTTTCCCAGACATAATCTATAGTAAACATCAGGAAATTGTATTTAAATTCCTCTGCCCTGATAAAGTTCTGGGAAAGGGCTTCTTTGTGAATATTTAGTGCATGTGTGCTTACTGATGTCTATTTACATGTTTCTATGATCGTGCCTTTCTGAACTCAACCTTGCTTGGATCGTCGCTTTCTTTGTTACACTGAAACAGAATTAAGGTTGTCTACAGCATTAGACTGTAGTCCACCCATTCTTCTAAGTCCTCAGATCCCAGGTCTTGCAGACACAGATCTGCATAGGTCTGCAAAAGTCAATACCTTCTTTGCCAAGACCCACAGGTGACTATTGGGTATGTGCAAAAGTAGAAAGGACCCAGTAAAGGAAAGCTGTCCTGACTTTTTCACACATAAAAATTCTTGCCATGCATTATGCTTTACTAACCCAGATGAGGAATCATCAATTCTGACTTCAGAGGAAAAATTAATGCTAAAATTCATTAGGTTTCCTGAATTAAAAAAAGGAAAGTGTAATGTCTTCCAAGAAAATAATTAAGCCACCATGGGTCTCATCTTTATAATTTAAAATTATGAAGTAGGTCATTACTTGGTGTCCTGAGTCTAGGATGTATCTAGCTAGCTCATAATCAGACTCCATCTGTCCAAAATTAGTCAAATCATCCTAAATAAAAAAGTATTGATTTCATTTTAGGGTTGTCAATGCATGGTCAAATGTAATTCATGTGCGTCTTGATTATCCATTCTGACTTTCCTAAAATGCTTGAAAAGAAGAAGAATATATGAAATGTGTAATAAAAGCTCTCATTCAAGAGCTCAGAGCAATAGAAAGAGAGAATTTGGATAGTGCTGTGGTTTTGATCTGAAAAGTCTCTCACAGTCTTGTGTGTTTGAACACATGGCCCCAGCCAGTAGCCCAATCCTGAGAGGCCGTGGCAACTTTAGGAGGTGGGATCTAGAAGGAGTGCATGCGTTCCTGTCTCGTGCTGTGCTTCTAGGTCTAACCACAGCTCTGCTGCATGCTCCTGTCACCAGGAAGCTGCTCCACCGTCCCTTCTCCACCGTGAGGGACTGAAATCCTGTGCCCAAATAAACGCTTCCTTCCCTTAGTTGTTCCCATCAGATTGTCACAACAACCAGACAACTATTGAGTTCAAATAGAATATTGTTATCCCTACTTATTAGACAGAGAAGACAAACAGCCATGTGAAAAGCTGACAGGTGTTGAGGAGGTCAATTGGGACAACAAGCCAAATGGAAAGCAACCATCAAGTCTCTTGATTAGATATATTTTCTGCAGTGGTGCAGGCAGTGGTGCAAGCAGGGGGGCAGAAAAGGAAGACACTGACTCCCAGGGCTCCATTTGAGATGAAAGCACAGATGGGAGACTTGCTGCAGTGCCAAAGGACCCTAAATAAAAGCTCCTAATGTTTCTTATTGACTTGTGGGGCAGCAGGAAGGGAAGGAAAGACTAGAAATGAACAAGCGCTGAGTCAGAATAAAGAAAACCGCCTCCAAAAATCCTCAGTAACAAGGTCTGTGCAAAGGCACCTGGGAAGCGTCTCAAACAATCCCCCACTAGAGGCAACTCCAAATGGCAGCACCTGCTCTGGAAAACATAAGCTATTCACAGCTAGGTCAATGCAACATTAAAGAATAAAAAGGATTCTTCCTCTTGGAGTAGTTTAAACCAAGTACTAGCCCAAATTCGAATTCCCCACTTCACTTCCTGTGTCTTCCATCTGTCCTACTGTCTATGTTCTGTCATCTGTTGAGTGTGTCTGTCTGTCTGCCCCTAACAAAGGGCCTTGTATTACATGTATTGAATAGCACAGAAAACATGGAATGGGAAAGAAATGAGGATTTTTTTGTTTAATTTTTTTGAGACAGGGTCTCTCTGTAGCCCTGAATTTCTATAACTCACTAGGTAGACCAGTCTGGCCTCAAACTCACAGAGATTTGACTGCCTCTGCCTTCCAAGTGCTGGGATGAAAGGTGTGTTCTTTTTACATAAAAATTTCACTGTTTTACAAGGAAAGGCATTGCTTTCCTGACATAGAATAGCACTTAAAACTGCAAGCATATGTTATCAACCTACATCCACATGTTGCTTTTCAATACTTATGGTGGATATTTGTTTTCTTTAAGGTCAGGGCCAATCTACTGGCTGCTTTCAGCCAACAGTTGCCACAATACACACACACACACACACACACACACACACACACACACACACCATGCATGTGCATATATTTTTCTGGACTCGGGTATAAAATAGTACATCATTTTAAAACTAAAGCTATGGGTTTAGGTTAGGTTGTAACACTGATTACATGGGAAGTTCAAGGCATAGTAAGGTTGGCTACATTGTCTTCTTTAAAGCAAGTTAAACATGCTGAATACAGAGTAGATCTCCCAGCATTTTATTAACTTAGTTACAAGGTCTAGCAAAAGTTACCGAAGGTACATGGTTCCTTTTTTTTTTATCAGTTTGACACATGCCAGAATTGTCTGGAAACAGATAATCTCAACTGAGAAAATACCCCCAATTAGATTGGCTTCTAGGACAAGCCTGTAGACTTGTCTTGGTTGATAACTGATGTGAAGGGTCCAGCCCTCTCTGGGCAGAGCCATCTCTGGCCTGTGAGCTGGAGTGCATACAAAACCAAATTAAGCAAGCTCAGAGGAGCAAGCCAGTAAGCAACATCCTCCATGAGTTCTGCTTCTAGTTCCTGCCTTGCTTCTCTCAACAGATAGCACAAGCTAAATCAAACCCTTTGTTTCCCAACTTGTGTTTGGTCATGGTCTTTATCACAGCAATAGACAGCAATAAGACAGAAGGCAAGAACATTTTTCAGAAAGAGTTATTCCCACAGACATTGCTGGCCCAAAGCGGCCTTAGAGCTTGTCTGTATATCCCTCCAGAATACAACGGTGTTGAAGCTGTGTACGTAGTTGGATGTGGATGGAAGGATTTCTCCCATAAAACCTGTCAGTTAAAGCCATGTGGTTACCTGTGGTTGGGCCTCAAAGAGGAACATCCAGATGTGATATTAAATTGACTCAGCTGTCCAATGGGCCAATCTGCCAAAAGCCATGAATTGTGAATAGACATCATAAAAGGAACTTTTTTGTAATTTCATACAATTTACTAGGGACAGTTGTTAATTTCGTTTGTTTATATTCTACTTTAGAAGGGCAAAGACTAGACATAGGCCTTGGATAAAGAAAGAAGAAACTTAGCAATTACCAACTTTACTGAGTTGTCGCCCAATCAACTCTGAGAAAAGAGGAAAAGGAAAAAGAATGGGGATCTGAAAAATATTTAACCACCCTCAGTCTTCTGAACACCCACATGTTTTGCCATACCAGACTTGAGCATCTTTTGACAATAAGCATAGGAAGGAGGCTCATACGGGATGGAATGATACTCCTATTCCAACAGTCTTTAAAAATCATCTCTCTAATTTCCATTCTCATTATGTCTCACTAAGTGTACTGTAACAGACCTCCACTTGCTGTCTCTGCCTTTGCCTCATTGTCCCACTCAAATGTCCGGTAAGCAATGAAGAACGCAGCACAGGGGCACCTTTGGAAGTTAGATGTAAACAATCAGTAACAGCCCCCAAAAGAACAATGTCTAGTGATACAGCCTTTTAAAAAATTTGTAATTATTTATTTTTTTATTTTATGTTCACTGGTGTTTTGGCTTCATGTATGTCTGTGTGACAGTGTCAGATCTTGAAGTTACAGGCAGCTGTGAGCTGCCATGTGGGTGCCAGGAATTGAATCTAGGTACTCTGGAAAAGCAGCCAGTGCTCTTAATCACTGAACCATCCCTCCAGTCCTGTGATAAAATCTTTTTAAAAGACAAGCTCATCCATGAATGAATTAGGGAAAAAGAACACTTCTTTTGTATTCATTTATTCAATAAGTAATTATGATTAATATTTATTAGTATGTATAATCACTATATTCTGGAGTTGAAAATAATTCTTAGTAAATACTGGTGTTATTGAAATAGGAATTTCAGTAAGGGTTTCACATAGGTGGCATTCTAGTAAACAGAAAGGGCAAAGATGTGTTTTCTAGATGCAAGAAGAGAGAGGGAGGGAGAGAAGAAGGGAGGGAGGGAGGAAGGAAGGGATAAAGGGAGGAAGGGATGAAGGGAGGGATGGAGGAGAAAGGACATATATAGGCAAGACATATCCTGGCACATTCCGTTTTGTAAGCATTTCATCATGTCTGGAGATTGGGAGTGACAGAAGATAGTAACAAAGGAGACAGATTTAAGATACAGTAAGAAGCAAACTGGACCTAAGTAATGAGGGCTTTATGTTCTTTTTTTTATCATTTTTATTTTAATTTTGAATATCTTGTTTTACATGTCAATCCCAGTTCCCTCCCCTCCTCCCGCACTCCCCTTGCCCCCCAGCCTCCCACCCTATTGCCAATTCCTTCCACATAGGGGATATCTAGAGTCTGTCATTTCACTCCCGGTAGGGTCCAGGCACTCCCCTAAGAGTCCAGGCTGAGAGAGCATCCCTCTTTGTGCTATGGGCACACGATGACTGTTTGTATTCCAGGGATAGACACTGATCCACTGCTCAGGGCCCCATAGGTTGCCCAGGCCTTCTCACTGACACTCACATTTGGGGGGGTCCAGATCAGTCCCATGCTGGCCTCCCCACTGTCGGTCTGGGGTCCAAGAGCTCTCCCCTGTTCAGATCGCTGTCTCTGCTAGTTTTGCCAGCCCATTCTTTGCCAATTTGCTCATCACTCCTCTCTCTTTGTCACTGGGTTCCTTGGGTTCAGATCAGGATGAGGAATTGAGGTTTAATACTGTATGTAATTGAGGTAAGCTTTGTAGAGTTTTACTTGAGTAACAATAGCTTTTTGTTTCAAAAGGCC